AACCCAGTCGTGGCCATTGCGTGTGCCTGTCCTGGAGCTATGGGAACTGCTGTTGGCAGCTGGTGAGCGGTGTGACCCTTCGGACGTGTGGCCGCTACCTCAGCCTGTCGGTGTGCATGTAAGGGCACGGCGCGCTCGATGACAGGTCTGAAACCCCCTAAATCCACCTTCTTCTTCCTCAGCATCTGCCACTTTTCCATCCTGTGTCTGAGAGCACACACTCAGTGATGGCAACGTGGTGGGCCACCAGCTGAGCAATGCCTCTCACAGTGAGAGTGGTCCTCTGCCCTCACAACTAGCCACAGGGCTTGGGGCGAGGTTTGCCCAAGTAGGATTTGCTGTTGTCATTCCCCCTGCTCCGGTGCCAATTTTCAAGAAAAGCAGCCAGCAGAACTTGTGGTGGTATTTTATTATATGTGCCCAGAACAAACCAGCAGAAAGCAGGTTTATTGAGAGTATTACTGGTTTCATTCTTTGCTTCTGGTTTTTAGAAAGGAAAATTTGTGTTTGGCAGATACAGCTAGGCACACGTGTACGCGCCAAGTGCTCCTGAAAATTGATTTATGGTAATCAGGGTTTTTTTTCCTTAGATTTTAGAAAGAAATCCACCCTCTAGGGATGAAAGACTAGATCAAGTGTCAGGGTTAACACCTGAGCTTACTGTAATCTTGACTTCTAGACTGACAGAACAGTGCAGTTCACATCACAGGTGGGCAAAATATCCTCTTCGCCATCTCAACCTAAAGATGCAATTAGTGCGTTTTCACAGGGGACACGATCCTGCTTCACCTCCGGCAGAGGCAGACTGATCCCGCCTTGCTGCACGCAGCTAGGCCAGCCGGGTGCCGCAGAAGAGTGGCAATAGACAGTGGAGGGAGCTGCAGCGGCGAGCCCTCGCTTCTGTACCATGCGCAGGCAACTGGGCCTCACTGAGATGTACAGACCTTACAAGGTTTGGCAAGTTAACTCAGCCAAATCCCTCGTGCAACTCAGAAGGAACAAAGGGAGACAAAAATAGATTGATGGACTGTATCAGGAGAATTGCAAGTGTCAAAAATATCTGTTGCTCAGGGCAGAGGAAGATGGAAGTGACTGGAAGAGGCCAGAGTTCAGCAGTGGATTTATAAGGCTCCTTCTGGCACTGATAATATTACATTGTCATATCGGCACGTGTGTTGCCAGAGTCAGAGCGACTCTTTCTTTATCCTCTGCTTTGCTTTTTTCTTAACTAGACTTTCTTAAGGCTTTTTCAAAAGGCATCACAAGGAGCATCACTCAGCCGGGGCAGCCCAGAGACAAAGAGCACGGCTGCCTGCAGTGGGGAGAGAGGGCAGCGTGCAAGGGCAGCAGGCAGCGTGCGAGGGCAGCGTGTGAGCGGGTGTGCCACGGGAGAGGTGCACACCTCTGGGCCGCCCAGCACCCAACAAAGCGCCTGAGTTCAGCTTCTGTGCTGTGGGAGAGAGTCCGCTTACAGTGCTCACGGGCAGGGGCACGTGAAGGACATCAGTGCAGATTACTTCTATTATCTTCTGCTATGTAAAATAAAATCCAGATGAAGGTGTGCGATAAACAGTTTTGAAGGCGGGCTCTGGTGTTTTTCCAAAAAAGGGTTTCAGTCGGTGTCTCTGGGGGCTCTGACTTCAGCGGACACCCTTGCCGGCACTAGAGGAGGACCTGGCCCAAGCAGGCGTAGCCGCTTTGTCTGAACGTGACCTGGGCTGAGCGCAGGCTGCTGTCACCCTGCTGGACGGCCCCCATTTGTCAGCCCTCGCAGCGTGAGCTGGCCGGTCTCTGTGCCTGCTCTGGATAGACTCTCACGTTGGAGCAGATTTTATCCCGTGGTGTACATTTGTTCTCTGGCAAGCTGGAAGCTACTATTTATTATGAAAATTGATTGGCTCCAGTGCAGGGAAAACGATCGTAAGGAAACCCTATTACGGTTTTTCATTATCACCATTATTTATTTTTAAGTGCTATTAATATTCCTGCCTGGACAAGGCAGAAGATGGGAGGTGGTACCTGCTGCTCACAACCCGAGGCCTGGCAGTACTGTCTGCAAGGGCTCTTTGAACAATTAAGCATACTGGAAAGTTTTTGCCCTCAATCTACCTCTGGCGAATGCTAACAGGAGTAGAGCTGAGAAAGAAACTTTTGCATTGCCTGAAAACGATCCCTATTTTGTTCCCAGTCTCTTCCCCAGGTGGAAGAAGGCTCTGCCAGCAATGCTGGGCAGAGGCAGGGCCAGTGTGCTGCTCAGCAGGCACCAGGGGTACGGGAGGATCCAAACTGGGCTCGGCTGGGCTGCTCTGCTAGGGGCAGTGGCTGCCCCAGTTTCACTTGTTGGGGCTCTACTGTGTCCAGGGAGGATTGAACCTGTTGCGTGTGGGTCTTCGTGTCTCAGATAAGGTCCCAAATTGCAGCCGAGCCTCTCTCTCACTCTCTCTGGATCCATGCATCGTTCGTCCTTAATTCAAAGTCGAAGAACTCCAACTTGGATGTGAGGATAAGAACTGTCTTATTTCGTAGCCTAAACTGGAGCATATCTTCACCTGTTCCAACTGGGTGTGGACCAAGCCTTAGGAAACCAACGATCCGCATGATAGCTTGTCAAAAAATAAAGGCGACCCTGGCCTGCAGGAGGAAGGGACGGCTCCCAGCTTGGGAGCCTCAACTCTCGCTTTCTGATGGACTTGAAATGAAGTTTTATTTGCAAAATAGTAAAATTGGTGTATTTGTATCATAGACTGGATAGCATTTATTTGTTCTCCCCAGCAATGAGCACTTTCTTCTTTCCTCTGTGATGTTACTAGCAGTGATGATGTGGTCTCTGATACAACTGAAGTTGAGGAACAAGGTGTCTTGTAACTTTTGGGACATTTTCTAGGGAAATAATTATTCAGGAACACTACATTTCAGGAGATGAGCACAAGCTCAGGAAGACAAGGTGTTAAGCAAGTTAGTTTCACAATAGGCGGTTGGGTTTTTGTTATTCTCTGTGATTTCAGAGAACTCATGTACTAGTTTGTGATTGAAAACCCTGAGGTTTACAGTGCTAATTGAACTAGCTTTGTATCTACTGCTGGGACTGTCACTTGTGGTGTGACGATTCCCACTGAAGCGTCGTACAGTGCTGACTCGGATCACACCATTTGTGTAGTTAGGATTTTGTGACAAACGATGATCTGGACAGAGTATCTAGGTGAAAGCTGGAATTTGTGTAGCCTTTGAAAGAGGAAGGTGTAAAGCAGAAGGAGCAGAAATGCAGCGTTAGGCATGGCAAAAATTACCTGAGTTTGGTTTGTCTCCTTTTCTGCATGAGCCCATTAACAGGGACAGAGTCAGAGCTGGAGGCTGAGGTTGTCACAGAGCCGAGCTTCTGCAGCTGCTTTCACGGGAACTTCTGATCATCAAACAGTTAGACGTACATAAAAGATTGAGATGCTGTTCGTATCTTCTTTGCTCCTCATTCCTAATGTCTATCAGTAAATAACAGACTATTCTTGCAAAAGTATTTTTAACCCTTGAGTTGTCAATGTTAACTTTCAATGGGGATGCAGAAATGTATCATCAGGCACTCATCCCCACAGTGAATTCAGCAGCTTGACTTCAGTGGGGGCTCGCTTGCATGAGGAAACCTGTTTTTCAGCCCAGAAGCTCCACAGTGTTTTAGAGGTCAGGATGTAGCTTCAAAGCACTCTTCAAAGGTTTTCAGGTAAAAATAACTGTAGAAGATACGAGTTTGGCATCCCAGTCCGTTTGATGGATGTGTCGTTGCTTATGAAAGAATGTGTAGCTGGAATATATATTGCTAGGGAACTCTTCAAAAGCTTCTCCTCAGAGGGAGCTGAGATGCCAGTGTCTTGGTCCCTGCCCGCCTGGGCCAGCAGAAGGTGCCTTTGCATCTCCTGAATCTTGCTGGCTGATCTGTGCAGTTGCTATTTCTTGAAGTACAAAAGGTGGATGACTATTTTTATACCTCCCTCATGCCAAGGCTGCCTCTCGGTAGCAATAAAAGATGTAAGAAGGATCTTTGTAAAGTAATTTGCTGGTTTCATTCCAATAACCATGGAATAGGTGGGCACTCCCAAAATTCTTCATATAATCAGCACCGTTCTCCACAGAAATCAGGACTAGACAGGCAGAGAGACAGAACATCCATATTACCTTCAGAAATACATCTCTAAATCAGCATTAAAGGACATTGTTAGAGAAAAAAGGGGAAACAGACAACTTCAGACTCTCTTGAATGTGAGACAGAGCAATCTGTCCTCCCAAGGAAACCTTTATCCTAGCAAAATGCGAAGAAAATGAGCTGGCAGAGAGTCAAAGGCTGGCGGGGGAATCCGGGAGTCACCCTCCCATCCCATCGGATCTTCCCTGGCAGGTGACCTGCAAGGCAGATTTCAAATTGCAAGCACCCTTTAGTAATGTAGAGCAAATTTACATTCTGAAAGGGAAGGAAGGGATGATAGATGAAATAAAGTGAAATTCTATAAGGAAGATTTACTATACCATTGTTCTTCATGTCAAAACATGGTTTATTTTGTTCGGAATACATAATCATCTGGCCTGTAAGACTGTAGTACCATCCTGGTCTCTCCTAGTTCCTTATTCTCAGCCAATAAAAAGCTACAGAAATGGACTGACAACAAATAGCAAAGGTAAAAAAGGTGGGCAAGGTTGACTGTAGAGCTCAGTGAATTTCCACTCTACCTCGTAGGGATATATTACATAGTTAAATTCCCAGCACTAATGGGCATTATCAAAATGTAAGCTCTCAATAATAGCATTTGCTGAGTTTTAACAGGCAACGACAAAGGTATTTTCTAACTTCTATTCCTTCTATTTTTGATAGTTTCTAAGTTAGAGAATTAAGTGTCTCACATCTTCTCCAAATTTGGAAGCTGACGTGAACAGGCCTTTTTCCCTAGTTTGTCCTGTACTGTGTGCCCGTGCACTCCTCTGCCAGCCCTCTCTAACTGTCCTCCCCTTTCTTGCAGCATGCAAGAGGAAAGAGCAAGAGCACGGGAAGGATAGAGGGAATACACCCAAGAAGCCTCGGTTGGTCTTCACGGATGTCCAGCGTCGAACTCTACATGCAATATTCAAGGAAAATAAGCGTCCGTCCAAAGAATTACAAATCACCATTTCCCAGCAGCTCGGGTTGGAGCTGAGCACCGTCAGCAACTTTTTCATGAATGCACGGAGGAGGAGTCTGGATAAGTGGCAAGACGAGGGCAGCTCCAATTCAGGCAACTCATCTTCTTCATCAAGCACTTGTACCAAAGCATGAAGGAATAACCACAAACTAAACCTCGGTGGAAAAGCTTTAAAAATAAATAAATAAATAAATAAATAAATAAAGACAGACCAGGACCTCAAGATAGCAGGTTTATACTTAGAACTATTTGAAAAAAATGTTATTTATAAGTCCAAAGAAACCAAAGACTTACTTCACCTGCATTATGACTTTGTTCTAAGACACACACTTTAGTAGGACGACGACTTGCAAAAAACGGAGAGGAAGAAGAAAGCGAAACAGAGGGAATGAAACGGAACGCAAAGAGAAGAGAAACAGACCACTGGTCTTACACCTTCGCCCATGATCATCTTCACCGTACTTGGCTGTTTAGTGGTTTGGAGCATAGTGATTTCTTGTCATTGAATGGACATCTCTTCAGATATGGCTCTTCATTTCCACAGCAATTGCCATGAAGGTGTATAGTGTATCCGTACTGCGTACACGCCAGTGGTTAGGGACTTAGTCAGGGCTGGTCTTCAGAGAGGGTTGTGCCATGGCACGACTGACAAAGCGTGGAGTCGTCTGAATTCATTTGAACGGTAGTGTGATTTTTGCTATTTCATGGTTTGAACTTAACCGGTACAATGCCTGGAAACAAGTTCAAACTAGGCAAAGAAATTTTGAATGGTACCTAAACCAGTGCATTCTCTTTGTTTGTTAAGGAATGTTCAGATTTAAAAAAGGAAAACTATTCCATCCATAAAAAAAAAATCGACTAGCTACCAAAGAACACATTTAATAGTTATATTGCAGGTATTTTATTGCAATGATTTTAATATTCCAAAGCTATTTTTACACAAAATACTATGTAGAGTTATAGGTATAAACTAATCTAACTGTATAACACATAAAACTTGTAATCAAGACTGTTATTTGCGATTAGTAAAACCACATTATTGTTTCTTTCCATGATTGGCAAGAAAGAATGTCATCCGAGGAGGTCGCAGCCCCTGTCAGAGCACAGGTACTGATAATGGGATGCTGCTTCCACTGAAGTCAGTGAGCCTTTCTGTCGCTGACTTCAACGGGAGCAAAAAAAAGGGGCCGTTACAGCCACGTATAAGATAGTGCGGTAGCTATTGTGCGTGCATCCCCTTGTTACACTCTCCCAGGCTGATACTGCTGGAAGCCCATAGCAAACTGTGCGCTGTATATAAATACAGCTCAGCTCTGCCATCTAGCCTGCAAACAGGAGACCTGAGGCATTTTGCATGCAAAAATGAAGAGAATTGCGAAATGTAAAACCACAGGGCTCAGCATCTGATCAATACTCATTGACATTGGTGAGCTTTTTTTTACCTATTGACTTTACTAGGCAAAAGAGTAGCAAGAGCTTTGAAGGCTCGCGGTCTTTTCCTATTGAAAACAGTGGTACGACATCAGTTAATGTTGGTGGGAAGAGCTCCAACAGGAGCTCTGGTAGTGCTTTTGGAGGGCTGAATCGCGCTGCCTCTGAAGTCAATAGCAAAATTCCCATGACACCGATACAGCCTGATGTTTTGTGGCATCGTATCTGTGTGTAGCAGGCTGAGCTTTTGTCCTGTGCATTCTTTCTTGCTCATCTATTAACCAGGATAATGCATGAAATAGTTTCAAGTTTGTAGCTGAAAAGCTTTAAATGCTCTGTTGCTAAAAGACCCGTAGAAGAGAAATCATCCCATTCCTACTCAGATAAAATTAAAAAGAAAAGCGTGCAACATCTGCATATTAAATTTTAGTGTAAGGGCAAAATAGACTTAAAAAACCATACATGTGCCTGTTAGATTTCTAACCGGTGCTTCAAATTACTGTAGTAATTCTGCTAGGTATATTAAATTCCAAAGTAACCCAATACGCAGGTATAGGCCCAATGCAAGGATTAGAAATACGTAATCTTACTTACACCCTTTACAAAAAAAAAAAAAAAAAAAAGAGAGAGAGAAAGGAAAATTCAAGGTAAACTAGAATCCAACCACTGTCAATAATAGCAGATACTGGTTTTTGGGATGAAGCCCACTCAAAATACTAGCGACATCAAAGTTAAGCAACTTTGTAGCACCAGTTATTTCCCAAGAGGACAGGGTCTAGTCAAGGTTCAGGGTATACAGTTAATTTCCAGTAAGTGTTTAGAATATAGCTGAAATATCTCTTCCTTAAAATAAAGTGAAATAAACCCAAGATTTTTGGCACTGAATATTTCTCCACATTTCCGTATGTTAAACCTACTTTAAGACTGACAAAGCAGTTGTCTATGAAAATGTAATCTAATCTGTGAGTTTTTTGAGTCTCTAGCTTACCTTAAATTGTAGCGAGCTTTCTTTTAAAGTGTTGCATCCCCACAGAGACCTAATTGACATGGAAGCATTAATAAGCTCACGTATAAGGTCTTATGAATGCAGTCTCATTAGTGTAAGGTTAATAAAGGACAGTGATAATTAACATTTTAGTTTTTTTCCAGCAAAACACTGCTTTGTAACGTATCTATAGTTTAGAAAAGAAAGCCTTATTTATTTAAAACTTGAGAGTTTAAAAATGCAGGGAAATTCAAAGTACATTGCCGCATTTTTTAGTATTTCCATTGTATTGTCTTTAGAGACTACTTGCTGAAACCAAAGAGAACTTTCATACCAGCATTAAATTTGCACCCAATATGCAATTTCAGGATCTCTGACACACACACATGCAAGCCCCTGAATAGGTCTGTGTATATGTACACGCACACACATTTTTATGGGGTGTATGTATGTATACATGCGCACACGTATATCCACACACACTAAAACTGATGCACAAGTTAGAGATTTTAAGTGTTTTGGTTTTTTGACATGTCTGTTTAAGTATCTATAAACTTTTTGGTTTTTTATAAGCCATTAGGAACAAAACCACTCTTCCCATAAGCAATATGCGCCTCATACTCTGAATAGGCAAAGAACACACTTTTCTTTAATTCCTTTCGAAACATGAAGCAAATAACTACGGAACTGCTCATTCTACCTGTAAAGCTGTTTTACCTCTGAGCAGACTGCCCGGCCGCACCGACTGAAGCACGGACAGGTTACCCGGTGCTCCCCGGCTCGGATCGTTGCCAGTCCTTAGCAGGGCGTCCTTGAAGGGGGGCTGCTTTCTAATGCTGCGCTTAACGTTACGGAGGAAAGCCTGTCTCTGTCCTCTTAGTAGTGTTAGTCTTGCAGTTCGCTTCATTCCTGACAAAAGGGAAATTAGTTTCAAATTCAACAAAAGGACCTAAACATCTGCCAGGAAGGGTTAGGAGAGGGAGCAGAACCTGAAACAATTTGGGAGCATCGGGAGATGGGGCTTCAGTCAAGGGTGACTCCACGGGCGAGAGGGCATTAGGGACGCGCGTTCGGCTCACAGGCTGCATCCAAACCTGACCGCAGTGACCCACGAGGGGAGGCTGGCCAAGAGGTGAACTGTCCGCATCCATCCCCATTGTAAATGGCATTATTAGCTTTCCAGGAAAAAAAAAAAAAAAATTAAAAAAAAAAAAAATTCAGACCGACCCATAGCGCCACGTTAGCCCCCGCATCGCTTTCCCGGGGCCTCAGCCTCCTCTCCTTACTCAGGTAAAGCAAACCCAACAAGAGCGAGCGAGCCAGCCAGCAACGGGGCTTGGGCTTGAGAATTTGCTCCTGCTCCAACCGACGCCAGGAGCAAATTCCCAAGCGGCCAAAGTGGCCGGGGCTGCCCCGGTGCCCCAGCACGGGACCTGCCCCAGGGCTGCCCGCCGGCACTGCTCTTCTCCTGAGAGGGATTTCAGGATAAGGCCACGGTGGCGGCGGGCGCTGCCCGGGGGGGCTGCCGCTGCCTGGAGGGCTCGGAAGCGCAGCTGAGCTTATACCAAAGAGTCTTAGGACACCTCTCCTCACCTGAGTTGTAAACGAGACATTTTTACCCCCCAAAACGGTCCTTCTTTCTACTACTCTTCCTCCTATCCTCCTCCTCTTCCTCCTCCTTTGTACATAAGGATGAAAACTATGCATTTAGCAAACAAAGAGAAAGCACTTACCCTTTTCTATCTCGCTGCGTTTGGGTGCATTCAAAGGCCCAGGGGCTAATTTTGAGACTTTGCTTAGCCTCCTGGTTTATTATTGTGGTGTGGTTAGCTTTACAATACATTTGGTAACTATTTGCTAAAGACAAAGAAGCAAAAGGTAAGGAATAGCTACTTCCACGTGTTAAAAAAAAAAAGAAAAAAAAAAGAAAAAAAAAGTGTGTAAAGATCTACTATTTATAGTGTGAACCAAAGACGCTACCTCACTCGATTTCCATTGGTGATTTTAATCACATTGATGATACCAAAGAATACCAAAGATTTTTCATGCACGGCCTCGGTCTGGAAAGGGAACTCATCCTCCTTCTTACCCCCGTCCCCTCGATCCCCCTTCCTCACCTTCACTCAGCGTGTAACCTTGTCTTCATTCTTAATGGTAATGCTAATAACCTTACGAATACTTCTCTTGCTACAACTGCTACTACTGACGATGGTAAGGATAATAATAATAATAATAAAGCTCTAGGCAAACATGTTGCAAACTTTGTAAACTCATAGGACGAGTGCCTTGCTTGAACCAAAGTGTTAAACCGCTGTTGACCTCTTTATCTCTCACCTTATACTCTTTGAATACCTCAGCCTGTTAGAAAGGCCACTAATGAAAAAAGGAATAATTCTTCACCGTGGTGCTTTTTGCCGTGCAACCATGCAATGAAACTTTCTTTGATACCAAAGGAAAATGTTTTTTTTCCACTTTCTTGCTGACAAACCAAAGGTTCCCTCTTCTTTCCCCCAGAGCAGCTTGAGTCCCTCAGCCCAGACAGGCCGTGCATCGCTTTTACCAATTCCTCCAAATACCTCATAGTAATAAATCTTTAGGGTTATGTTGTATAGAGAGTCTATGTGATAAGGCAGAACTTACTAGTTTGATAATTGTTAAGGTTACTTAAAAAAAGCTTTATAATTCTTATTTATTTTGTAGGGGTTCTTTTGTTTGTAT